TGAAAGATGCTGGGAATCTTTTTTGATGGTGGGTTTTTAACATAGAAAAATCCAATATCAAATAATGCACGCTTAAGATCTTTGAGAAGTTGTGGTCTTCTTTCCTTATCAAGTGCTGCACTAATATCCAAGATTGGTACCACTCCTTGGAGATTATGCTCGTCCCGCTCTCTTTTGGACTCCTTTATATAATCATTAATATCTTGGATTTCGCCGGGCATACTTATCTGAATTCAGATTTATGTTTGATCAAATTATCATAGTACGATCTTGTCATCTCTATTTATACATTTAATTGATGCAAAAAATTGACCGATTTGGATAATTGTGGCTTTCAGACGGAAAAAATTTCCGCAATCAGGCAATCTAATCGGGTGTCTTTGAACACCGTTTTCTAGAAGATAAAAAACCTACATATTTTCACCTATTTTCAGTATCATATATATATATACTATCAAATCTCATGGTAGATAAATCACTATCTATTGAAATTAATATATAATCAAGAATCTACATCTTTTTCTCTCTCCTCGTATACCTGTGTGACATTTTCTAGCATATTCTTTCGCTTAATGAGGACGTTCATACCATAAGTGAGTGGCATCTGAACTACCGTTAAAATGAGACACACAATATAAGCAGCTCTGTAGTAGGGATATTGTTTCTCTGTACTCCACAAGACAATAGTTGCCCAAATTAAATTAGCTATTGCGGAGGCTTGTGCAACTCCTATAGTGAACTTAGCTTCCATTTCAGATCTTCTTAAAAATTCCTGGGACCAACTTAACAATATAGGTCCATAACACCAACTAATTCCACTAATAATATAGCCAAACCATACACATCCTTCGACTGGACTTATGAGCAAAAATATACAAGAAACCAAGTTGACGGTCAAGGCAATCTGAAGAGTAAGATGTCTTCCCTTCCAATCTGCAAGCCATCCTAACAATAATGTGAACACAAGAGCGACAGCTTGTGCTGAAGTTGGAATGCTATTTTCCTGAGCTACGCTATATCTACCCAAAGATTGAATAAACAAGATAAAGTAGCTCATGGCATTAGTAAAGATCATATAACTTGTGTAGCAAAAGACAATGACGTAAAAGGGCCAGTCAAAGATCATTCTTTTGATTTCAGAAAACTCAAATCCGCTAAAAGCTACTCTGGTTTGTTTATACTTTTTTGCAGCATATTTCTTATCATCATCATTCAACCAAAATGCAAGCTTACTTGGCCGGAGTGGATTATCTGGAATGGCGATAAAACCATATAAAGAAAGAGGAATAGTAATACAACCACATACTATGAAAAGCCATTGCCATCCAGCCTATTAAGGTTAGTAAATGAAGTCTTGAAACTTAGACTTATACATTTGGTAATCCACTTGTTATTAGTGCATCTTATTTTGATACAAAGCTTCCTTATAATAAAGAGGGGAATGAAAATAAATGTAACCCTAAATTAGAAATGTATGTTTTAGAGTGTTATAAATTGATGGAATATCATCTAAAAGATCCGATTCAAAATATTCTTAAATTGTGTCTAGATGTAAATGGAAATACCAAATTAACAGAATTAACAAATCTCCTTGAACAATTAGAAGAGAATAATAAAGATGTGTTTGGAAAAAATAGCAGCTACATGACGGTTTTGGATGATTCGAATGATGTAAATTTGGAAAAATCTTCCAATTTCATGATCAATTTATCGTTAAAATGCTTAATTTATCGATATACTATCACTTGTATTTGTTTTATGAAAAAAAGCTAATATAAAGTTACAGTTCTTTTATTTCAAACGGGCTATATTATTTATTATGGAAGAAATGATACCATATTTTCTTCCCCTAATTCTTAATCCTACGATATTTTGAACTAGGTGCTGATATGTTTCTTAATCCAAGAAAGCTACAAACAATTCATAGGGCTATTGAGTTGATCATAGCTTCTAGAGTTAGGGTTCACCTATTCAATTACAAAATGAAGCAGAATTACAATCACATAACCAATTTAAATTCAAATGCAATTCACGGAAACGCTTATTCAGGCTGCTCAAATTAAGTCAAAATCTTACAAAGTGTGCTGAAATTTGCATTTCATCCGTTTCACAGATTGGTAATAGATATTATTATGCATGGGGTATCAGTAGAAGTCAAGCATTTTTAATAAAGGTAGTCACAAATGAGAAATTTTATAAGGATTCATTTGATCATCATATTAATGCACCATTCTATTTTAAGACTTGCATTTGCATTAATTATCACACGACCCAAAACTGATAACAATTTAATAAAGCCGACCCACATCTTGGCTTAGTCTCACATTATATGCACATATACATGCATGTTTACATAAATAAAAGCTGCATGGTTTGTTAAAATCAATAGAGCTCATTCAAAAAGTACGAATATAATGCAAACCCTGTCTAAGAGTGGATCAGCGCTGGATAGACTTCAGATGCCTAAGATTTGCATCGAATCTGATTTGAAACTCTAGATTATTTCAATAAAACTAAACTAGAAATAGTCAGAAAGCTCAGTATGGAAAGGCGCTAAAAACTTGAATATTAGTACACTCTATCAATATGCATTAAGCTTTTAATTTTAAAAATATATGGTGCTATATTTACACACATGCATAGTCATTGCAGCATACATATTCACGCTAAAAAATTCGTTTATCAACGATACCTAGTTTCTCAAGAAAAATCCTCTTCTCGGACTTATATAATAACCGTGAGATGTAGATTTTATTCATAAAACTTCCCAATAAACAAAACTAAGTAAATGATGGTATATATGGGAAACTATTTGCGGTCTCTTAGAATGAAGTTTGCTCTTTTTGGGGCAGTAATATGCTTGCTAATTCTCGTCACAATCCATGAAACTTCAAAGGAATATTATGGCCTAATCCCAATTTCTATGAAGGGTTATCTTTCAAATGAAAGGAATACAGGTAAAGACGTCGAAAATTTGTGTGCAAATAATGTGAAAGCACAAATATTCTGGGGCAACCTATTCGAAACTATAAGTGCAAATAGCTTAAACCTTACTAACGATGAGTTAGATAATGCAATAACTTATAACACGGTTGCTGATAGGAAAGAAACGAACACGAGAGACGTTTTGCTTTCGAAGGCAGATATTTCTGAGAAAGCATTTAAAGAATTCAAAGAGAAACATAAAACGTTACTTCAAGAATTACCATCAGAGATACCTACCGTGGCCTATAAACCGGGGTCAAACGGAATTGTTTTCGTCGGCGGAGGAAGATTTTCTTGGTTATCTTATTTATCACTTTTAGGTTTAAGAGAAACAGGATCCAAAATGCCTGTAGAAATTATAATGCCCAAATATGTGGATTATGAAGAAGAGATGGAGTTTTGTACTGAAATTCTTCCTAAGCTTAATGCAAAATGCGTAGTTATCCCAGAGATATTTGGACCTTCGGTAATGACAAAATGGAATAAAAAGATCAAGTCGTATCAGTTTAAATCATTGGCCTTGATGGTGTCATCTTTTCAAAATGTTTTGTTGTTAGATTCAGATAATATAGTTATAGAAAATCCTGATCCATTTTTTGATAGTGATCTATTTAGAACATATGGAATGATTACCTGGCCTGATTACTGGAGACGTACAATTTCTCCTCATTTTTATAATATAGCAGGTACTGAAGTGAATGAGAGAAAAAGAGTCAGATATGATAGGCTTCAGATAGGTTATGATGAAAGTGACAATAATTTGCAAGAAAATGAAAAAGATTCTGTGCCATTCCATGACCTAGATGGAGCTGTACCTAATTTGTCAACAGAATCGGGGCAGCTTTTTATTAATAAGGATTCACACGGGAAGACTTTGTTGTTGTCCTTATATTATAATTTGTATGGGCCTAAATTATATTATAAGCTATTTTCGTTGGGGGAATTAGGAGAAGGTGACAAAGATTCGTTTGCAGCAGCCGCGACTGTTTTAAAACAAGATTTCTATCAATTGAAATCCTCTATTAAAGGAATTGGGCATTTTGATAAAGACGACCATTTTCAGGGGAAAGCGATGGCACAAAAGAATCCTCTTAGAGATTATGAAATATTCAAGGAAAGAGTATCAAAGCCTCTTATTGAACAAGAAAAAAACAAGATGCCGCTAAATGAACGTGTGCAACACGCAAAAAAAGTGATAAGAAATCATTTTACTTCAAACAATGATAATCCTATTTTTGCAATGCACTGCCATTATCCAAAACTTGATCCTGCTGATATAATGCAAAGAGACAGCATTTACGATAAAGAAGAAAAAAGGTTGCATTACAGGATGTACAAAGGCTTTTCATTTGAAAGAAATTCAAACGAGGGTAATACAACAATTGATTTCGAATTAACACAATGGACTAATATGCAAAGAGCATTATGCACTGAGAAACTCTATTTTAGACATTTTGGCCATGATAATCAAGAGTTGTGCGAATTTATAAATAACCAGGTCAGCTGGCTATCGAATTCTTAATTGATAATTTTAATATAATAGAAAAAATACAAGATAAATTTTTGAAAGATGCATTCTATAACTGCAAACTAGAGTATGAGCCGTCTAGTGTTTTTGTAAGAAATAGAGGCTAAATACTGAATATTGTACAAAAGCTCACAGTAATTTAATTCATTTGAGTGTTCCAAATTAAGTGCAATTTTAAAAAGCTAAGTATTTAAATATACATATGTAACAGCTTATAAAGGAAAGTAAAGCAAATTATAATCTTTCTCTTCAGTTGGTTTAGAGTTGTAAATAGTGATTATATTTGTATCCTATTGAATTTATTGTATGTTTGCGCTTTAAACTAAACTAGACCATGTAGATTTAGCTCTAACCTTCCTTCAAGAAAAAAATCCCTTTTCACTAATAAAATTACCACAAGTTACACCGAAACAGCTGGGCATTACAAACAAAGTAAGAAAATAGAAGAAGACATTAAAAAATCGGGACCATATTTGGCAATATAATTTTGGCCATTAATTACCAGTAGCAATAATTTAATTTCCTGCAGCAATTGCATTTCAACTTAAATTATTATGTGAAAACACAGAAACAAAAGTTGCAGCTAGACAAATTCAGATCAGAGTTTAGGACAGTACTCTAATTCTTAACTAACATGATATCTCAGACTTTATCCAGAAAACAAATTGTTATAAGCACATCTTACATCCATGATTAGTATCAAACCTATATTCGATAGAGCTCTATGTGATGATTCAATAAGCATTAAAATTGTCTAATAATTATATTTTTATTAGCTTGGAAATTGCATTTGCGAGTATATTAGTAAAAAGTCTGCTTATTAAAAACTTCAAGATAATAAATGATCTTAAAGAAAACTGTACGATACTAAGAAAAATTCAGGTTTCCACAACCTTCTGCATTCAATTTGAAGACAAATTATGAGAGAATTTCACTGATACTCAATATTTCAAAATTTTCAATAACCCAATAATTTCAGTTAATTTTAAATATTTAAAAAAAATTAACAACTTTTTATTTGAAGTTAAATTACATATTACAACCAAGTTCAGTTGTATTATATTAGTTTAAAGTACTAAATGACTCATCATAATATAATTAAATTAAACATATAGTGTAAGACTTAAACCCACACATATTGGTTAAGGTCATGACCTGGGTGAATTTTTGGTCATTATATCACTCCAAGTGTCATCGTTGTTGTTTAATAAATTACTGAATGTTTCTTTGTCGCTTTTAGATACACACCTAATTCAATACATATCAGCTGATACTTTGAGATTCTGTCAAAACCTTTCGCAGATAAGTAGACTATTAAGGGTGCTAATTACAATAAGCTACGAATAATAACAAAAGCATCAAATGCAAATACTCTGAATATAATTTAAGAGGTGAAATGTCACGTCTGAAACCAAATAAAGGCTTGCTAATGCAACCACGTATACGTATTTCTGACAAAGAAACGTGATATATCAGGCATTTTTAGACCTAAAGCAATTATAACTTTATATATAACTTTATAATTGAATAGACATAGCAATTAAAACCTTAACCTTCTATTAGGGGAGTGCTTTCCTAAAATATTTAAATACATTATTTCTCAGTTATGTGTAGACATTCTTGAGTGCTTTATGAATTATTAGTAAAAATGGTTAAAGCATTAATAGCAGTGACGTCGCATCATGATGCATTTTACGAGAACGGGTCCAAAACCGGGGTTTTTGTGAGCGAAGCATTGCATCCATTTTTGGTATTTAAGGATAACAATATAGAATCAGATTTTGTATCTGAGAATGGAACATTTGGGTATGATGTAAACTCCCTTGATCCCATGTTTCTTAATGGAAAGGATTTGAATGTGTTCAATAATAAAAGCTCTGATTTTAATGTCTCAATTTCCAACATGAAGAAAGCTGCACAAATCGATCCGGACGAGTATCAGATTATATTTTTTTCTGGTGGTCATGGTACAGCATTTGACTTTCCCCAAGCAAAAGGCTTGCATAAGATAGCGCAACAAATTTGGAAAAATAATGGCATAATAGCAGCTGTCAGCCACGGCTGCACTATTTTTGATGGTTTATATGACCCAAAAAACCCCAATAAATTATTGGTTGAAAGTAAAACAATTACTGGATTTACTCATGAGGGAGAAGAAATTATTGGTGTTGATCGAACTTTAAAAAAAGATCATTTAGGCTCCATTGAGGAGCTATGTAAGAAATTAGGTGCAAATTTTAGTAGGCCAGATGCTCCCTTTGAAGAGCATATAATAACTGATGGTAGAATTGTAACAGGTTCTAATCCAGCATCTGCTGTATCAACTGCCCTTAAAGCTGTTGACTTAGTGGGTTCATGATCTTTATTCTAGAGTACTGAACTAGCTCTTGTGAATTTTGTTTAATTTGATCATCGAGCACCTACAAATCAAAGCTTTCTCTATTGATATTTGACTTAGATATGAATTCATGGATATGTATATATATTGGTTTTTTTAAATTATGAAGAAATATATTTGATTGACAGTGTATTGATATTTCTGAAAGTTCAAGATTTGAAGAATTGCCCTTTTCTTGTAATGCATATACCATTAATACTCTTTTGCTATAGATATAGCAATTATGATTTTGATATAAGAGATTCTATTCATCAGATATTTTAGATCAATGTATTATGAAACCATCAACTTCAAGCACTGAATCTAGTTTTTTTTAGTAATGTATAATGATGTGAATATTATGGTTCTAATTGATTTAATCTAAAATTTATTTTCTTTCCATAGTATTTATACACCAACTATTAAGATACATGTATTGCATTCTTTAATTTTATCATCTGTTATGTAGGTTCCAAATTTTAGCTAAAACTGTTCTGACTTTAATTTGTGAACCTTAAATAAATACCAAAGGATATGATCAGATATATGAGTTTATACTAACTGCTGTTTTATTACGAAAGTCTTGTGATTCCTTTGATTTAGAATCACGGTTATGGTTCGTGCAAAGTAAAAAGTTATTAGTCACATATTTTGTGAGGAGAGTGTAACATTACATTTAAATACTACTTCAATCAGAAGGTTATAAGTCAAAAGAAGTAACCACTCCTACCAATTAGGAATGTTGCAGATTAAGGTAACTTGGATTTTGCAATGAGGGGAATCAAGGAACCAAATGCTCGTCTTTATATCAAAGTCTTGTAATTTCAGCAATATATATATATATATATATGTATATGTATGGATATTACAGTAAATAATGATTTAAAACTAATATTTTTCTAAAAAATGAAATTACTCCGCGTAATTATTACCTTATTTTCCATTACTTTGGCTAATGCATCATCATTTAATGGGTCAGATATTCTAGCAAATGACAATGCTGGAAAAAATATGTCGAACAGCGTAAATCCTCATGTTGCTTTTTATTCCATCAAAGCCGATGAAATAAGAGCAACATTTATTCCATACGGAGCTAGGTTGACACACTTACTAGTAAAAGATAGGAAAGGGAATCCACAAGATGTGATTGTAGGGTATGATAAAGGAGACGCATATATCAATGACACTGAAACTGTTCATTCTTATTTTGATGCAGTTGTAGGACGATATGCAAATCGCATTAAGAAAGGTACCTTTGAAATAGATGATGAAACTTATCATGTACCTAAGAATGAAAACAATGGAACTAACACGCTTCATGGTGGAAACATTGGATATGACCAACGCAACTGGACTGTCATATCTTACAATGAATCTAGTATCACATTTATGCTTGAAGATGTTGGATATGAAGACTTCCCAGGAAATGTTATAACTTACGCTACATACTCTGTGAAAGCTAATAAAAAGCCCTCAACCTTGACTACTAGACTAGTGAGTATTCCTTTGGATGGAGCAACACCGATTATGCTTTCGAATCACATATACTGGAATTTGAATGCTTTTACTGATGCTCGGGATCCTACTGTCTTGAATGATATTTTGTCGATGCCATATTCAAATAGGTACATCAAAACCGATAAATATTTAGTTCCAGTGGGTGATATTAGCCTTGTTCAATACAGGGAGGGAACAGATTTCACGACGCCTATTGACTTAGGAACTAATATCAAGGAAGCAGACGGAGTATGTGGGCCAAAATGCACTGGCCTCGATACTGCATTTATTTTAGATCGTCCACGGTACTCAAATCCTGAATCGACTGATTTGGTTATACTTAAGTTACAATCAAATAAGACGGGAATAAAAATGGAGATGAAAACAAATCAGCAATCGTTACAGATATACAGTTGCGATGGACAAGATGGTACAATTCCAGTGAAGAGAAGTCAGCAACATGGAAATGGCACAACATATTTGGAACAGTATGGATGTGTTGTTATTGAGCCACAACAATGGATAGATGGTATTAATAATCTACAATGGGGTCAGAATGAATTTCAAGTATATGGCGTTGACACTCAACCAGCAGTTAATTTTGCTCTGTACGAGTTTAGTTCCATTGAATAGAATAATATATTCTTAACTTCAGATTCTGAGACATTTTGATACTTCGGCTACTCGTGATGTGTGCTGATCTAAAAATGGCATATAGTAACTATATGGAGTATTTAAAATCAAAATAGGTAAATAATAAATACTTTAGTTCTTGGTTTGAATATGGGCTCTTTTTTGGCAAAGATTTTTTTTCACATTTAATACTAATACCATCGTCATCAATCGATTTCAGAAACATTTTTGTTCCAGGTCCTTGTCCTCTGGTTATATAGTTGCATTTGTCAGGTAATTTTTGGGATAAAACATTTTTCTTGTAGGAGATCGAAAGAATAATTTAAAGCTACCTTAAGCCTGATATTACGGTCTATATAAGTTATCTACTATCATTGTGGATATATTTTTATATTGTATTTTGAACATGTATACATTTGAGTAATATAAATGAGTGCTTTCGATGTAGCTTTGCATTGAACTACTCGGCTTCATGAAAAATCACGTTACTTGGTATCATAAATTCCTTATTTGCCCATAGAATTATATCTATAACAAAGAAGCAATAATAGCAGCAATTGCTAAGGTCCAGCTACCAGTGACTAAACTACCCATTCCTTCGGCATAAGTCTCAATGGCAGCTACAGTTTGGTTTTGGGAAGTTGGGTGAACACTAGAATATGCAACAGTCTTGTTACTTTGTGCAACAGAAGGGATAATTGCAGTGATTGGTGCAATAGAACCAGAACCAGTTGAAGTGCTTGGCGCAATACTTTCGGTAGTCAATGGGCAGTAGGTAGTGTAAACAGTGTCCAATTCAGTTACAACTGTAAGGCCAGTAGTCACAGTAGCTAAGTCACATTTGTTGTCTTGACAAGAAGTAATTGTAATAACAGTTGTAGCCACGTCAGAAACTGTTTCGGTGCTTGGGGTGTTGTCTAATGGGCAGTAAGTGGTATATGAAGTAGTACCTTCAGTGACAACAGTAACCCCAGTTTCAACTGGAACCATTGAGCAATGGTTTTCAGAACAACTTGTAACGGTAATTATAGTTGTTTGAACACCAGTTACAGTGGCAATACTTTTTTCGTCAGAAGAACCTGTTATAGCAGAACCATTTGCGTAGTGAGGTAAAGTTGAAACGAGACTCAGAGCACTTGGGGAAACAGTGATACCGATAGAAGAACTTGTGCTTGCTGTAATATCACTTGAGGTTGAAGAAGAACTAGCTTGTATAGTCAGAGATGATGCAACACTACTTGAACTTGTTGAACTGCATGTTTCAGAATTTAAAATGTTTGCTACTTGTTCAATGTAGTTAACATCATCAGCATTAACATTAGCAAATGCGGAAGATGCATCCCACAAAGAGATACCACCTAAGGCTTGATCACATTTAATGTCATCAATAGTGCTAGCAACGGTTTCAGCATCAACATATCCACTTCCGGACGCAGGAGCACCAGGTAATCCAACAAATAATTTAATGTTGTCATTAGGAGCAGACTTAGCAAAATCTGACCATGTGTTCCAGTTGAATTCAGATTGGTCTAAAGAACAATAGTTATTGTAAAATTGAATAAATGCGAAATCAAGGTTTGCGTTACTCAATAAATCACCGACTGATTGATCAGGGTAAGGACATTGTGGAGAAGCAGATAAATAGTATGACTTTGAAGAATCTTGGTTAAATAAGGTTCTTAATTCATTGGCCAAAGCAACATATCCAACTTGGTTGTTATTCTCAATATCAAAATCAAAACCATCAACAACTGCATCATCGAATGGTCTTTCATCGTCATTGGTACCGGCACCAAACTTGTTCCATAATGTGGAAGCAAAGTCGACTGCTTCGGCGTCCGATGTGAAGCCATAGTTTCCAACACCACCACCTAAGGATAACAAGACTGTTTTTCCAGCAGCTTGACAAGTCTTAATATCTTCACCAATGGCAGAGCAATGTAAAACACCATCTTCAAAAGTCATACCACATTGGTTAGCGAAATTTAAGTTAAAATCATTTGGGAAGTTGTTTAAAAATGATAATAAAACAATATCAACAGAATCTGATTCACAGTAAGTGCTCAATCTTTCTTGGGAACCACCTGAGTTTTGTCCCCAATAAACAGCGACATTGCTACTGGAGCCAACATCTAAGGCTGAAACAATTTTGACTAACAAAACTAATTGTGATACAACAAGAGATAAAAACATTATTCCAGGATATATAACGAATGACTAAGGCAAGTGAGTTTATCTCTATTTTCTTTGGGGGCTTATTTGCATAGTGGGAATTCGAGTCATATTTATACAAAATTTCTTGTAATTATAATATGCAACTTTGCTCGGTATGTTTAAAATTCTATGCACATATCTCGATGTGTTGTTTTCATAAACAAAGCGCGTTCTGTTAAATAATATTTTGTAGATCGGCATATCGCCCGTAAAAAAGTGAATATCTCTTATTAAGTGAATTAAGTTAAGTACATCAACTCATAAAATATGAACCTTAGTTATTAAATCGTCGTTACAATTTATATATGATAAGCGGGTATATATCATTCTCTAAGCCAAAAGATTTTAATTACAATAGAAATTTACGAGACTTTTTTTTATCAACAATCGTGTATTACTACATAGACGTGCGTTTGATGCCTTGCGAAGTCGCATAGCGTGAATAAAGTGGGGTCTTTCATTGGTTATTGGATAAGCTGAATTTTTTGCTATCCTTTTTCGTTCTAATAAGGTATACAGGACTGAAGTCAGATTTTGCATATAATGTTGAGAGTAAAATTGATATTACAGACTGCTCTGATTTTGATTGAAATTAGGTTGAAATGAATGATGACGTTTTGGTAAAAATGCCAAATGCAGATTCACGCCTTTGGATCTTCTCTTTGAGTTTACATCCTTTTTTGAATATATACCATTTGAATAATGGCAAACTCAGTTGTATATTTGCGATGTCCGATCCCCATATAATTTGTCTTTAATTACCTCTAAATAGGCTTGTCTTGTCATACCTGAAACATAAACTGAGGTCTTGTATCTTGGAGCCAAAAGTCCGATATGTGATTTTGTCATGCGTTATCTTATTATATCAATAGATTTGAAAATGGATATCAACTAATTAAATAATCCATTCTGAGGAGGTTCCACCTTTTTTCTCGTTTTTCAGATAAAGTAATGAATTATCTACGATACAAATATTGGAATTCAACGTGGAAAAGTAAGTTTTATCTTTTTTGGGGGCATTACAATAAAGAAATAAAATTGAAAGCTAATCAACATTATTCAGGTGGGTTATGAGTTGTATGAAAGTTCTTGATTTTAAAAATATGATTCATGATAAGATATTTATTCGTAATTTGACTATATATGGATGTGGAGGATATAGATATCTCCTTCTAAAGATTTAACCTATACAAAATAAGAGGTTGAATTAATCAGCTTCTTGAAATTTCTTTATCATTTTAGCCATGAGTTCGTCATTTTTACTAGGGATGTTACATTTAACCCTTTCAGAAGAAGACTTCATATCATCTAATTCTTTCTCGTTTGGAACATTCACAGTCTTTAAAAAGGTTTCTCTATCGTAAAATGATACGCTTTTAGGTTGGGCATAAACCGCACACGCAAATTTAGCAGTAGACTTAGCAGAAATCTTCCCGTTTAATTGAGGTAACATAACTTTAGACGAAATTAAATTAGTATTTGGTTCTGGCTTACCAACTTTTGCTATTCTCTCGTCTAATAAATTAAGCATTAAAGTAATATCTTTAGAGGTTTCAATTTCAGCAATAGCATTCGGATTGGTGTTTTTGTAGTTAGTGACGTTTGCATCATGCATCACGTTAGCTGCAAACCCTCCCTCTAATGATACTACATCTTGGGAACTATTATTATGAACATGGTGAACTCTGATATGATAGTTTCCTCTTTGAAGTATCCAAGTTTTAACCTCTATATCTTCTGCGCCAGCTGGTCTCCATTCAGAGTACAACCCATCTTTAAAGATCCATGACTTACTCGATTCTCTAAAATAGAAATCTTTATCATTGAAACTAAAGCCGATCATATTATCGAGAGAGGCTGTATTAAAACTTTTCAAATTATTTTCAACGTTAAAACCATATCTTGAACTGTAAGCAAATTTACTGTATTTTTCTGCGTGATGTCTGATGAATGCCAGGTATGGGCCACTTGTTAACGAGACAGTATTTCCCTTATTATGTGAAATTAGCATTCCAGGGACCTTTAGGTTTATATCTTCTAACTCCAATGCTTCCTCTTTCGAAGTCCAAAATGGATGAGATTCGGGCAATATTAACGAAGCGAATGCTTTAACGGACCAGTATGGAGATTGAGGTGAGTTGTAGGATTCACACATAAACTGGTTAGGATAACTGAATCCAACAGACAAAATATTCGTCTTAAAATATGAGACTGGTTGTTTGGACCACCAACGTAAATTTCTTAAGTAAACCCCTTTCAATACGCCCCAAGGAATGACTGGTGCTTCATCAGGTCTCATAATACATGCCAACATACCCCAGAATCCATCAACTGCAAATCTGTAAGTACATGATCTTCCGAATGGAATACATGCTCCATCATCACTGAACCAATGTATAAATTGTTTAGCGAATAATAATGCTCTACTCTTATATTTATTGCTTCTTTCGGGATCTTTGTCCTTCATGGCAAAATAATAGATCATTCCATAAAAGTGCAAGGCGAATGGGTTGTAGTAGTCAATTCTGTTATTTCCACCGTCACCATACCACCCCTCATCGATGTACATAGTATCCAAATCAACCAGGTATGCTTTAGTAAGGGATTTATCAAATTTAACTCCCACTTTTTCTAACCCTAAATCAATCATTATTCTAAAGAATTTCCAGTTGCAATGAGGAAATTCATTTTGTCTTGCTTTGAGCAAAAACTTGGATAAATTATCCTTAGCTTCATCCAGTAAAGGATTCCAGATATGTTCTGGAACAAGACACAAGGCGAACCCAATAGCAGCTAATTCAACTAAGTGCTGATCGAAATCCCCAATATCGCCCCAGTATTCTTGTTTGCTTGGGTTTGTTCCGTTAGTCAAACCTTTTCTAAATAAATCCCAATGCTTAAAATCGCCCCCTCCGTATACAAAAGGTACGATTCCCCATAATGGTCTTGCAAACCCTTCTAATTCAGCAGCCTCCATACTAAAAACTGCAGAAGTGTCTGCTAAGCTGACTCTTGAACCATCATCGGTGAAGGCTGGGATCAATGGTTCTAGTTGTTGGTGTAAAGCTTCAATCACATCATTTCTTGATTCAAGTGGATTAGTTGACCAAGCATTAAATTGAGTTGATTGTCTATTCATCCTTAGTATTATAAATTGTCTCTGTGGGTGTCATAGAAAAGAATGATATCATGGATAGCCTTCTAAGTTTTATAGCTTCATTTATAGTGGGGATATTTCAATACCCCCATCCGAAATTCAGCTGGGGTAATATCTATTTTAGTGGGGGATATGAATATCTAAAACGGGAATATTTGCCGATATTTTCAGAGAAATATTAAAAAGCAGCGTTTTTGGAATTTTAAAAAACGTACTTTTGCTGATATCACCAAAATTGCTAGAAAAAAATTAAAATTCCTACTTTCTTGATATCAAGCTTCATTTAATCTCCAATTTAATATGAAGAAACTCTCTGCTCTACATTGCGCTAAAAATATTTCTAGCAGTGATCACTTTAAATTGAATAAAATCCGAAAATATTAAAGACAATCCTATAACGAAAAATAGCTACTTACCTAAACTACAGAAGCTGAGTCAACGCTCTTTTCTCCTTTGTCACTTTTGATATACTCTTTATGTTCTGAATAAATCTTTGGTGGTAATTGCGATCTCAATTCTTTTGTTTGACTCAAGTCATGACTAAGCAAAGTATTGCGCTCTTCCTTCGCAGTTTTTACAACTGTCCATGGGGAAGATGATTTCTTGAAAATGAGATCAATTGCCTCCAATTCTAAGCCCAGTGTTTCAGGGAAAAAAGTCAAAACCATTATAGGGATAACAGCCCCGATGACGGCATATATTATGTAGTATCTATATGCTATCGATTGGATAGCAATGGGTGTAATCATTGTCACAACAAAATTCCATATCCAATTATTAGCACTCAGAATAGCCGAAATATAAGTACGATACTTTGTAGGTGATATTTCTGTTACGTATAGCCAATTGATTCCAAGAAAGCCAATTGGAATGAAAAAATTGAATGCAAAAATAAAAAAAACGGAAGCGATATTCGCACTAAAATTGTCAGGTTGGCTTGTGGTAACAGCTAGAAAAAGCATGCAAAGAGCCATACCGCTTCCGCTAATTGTCAACAAAAGCCTTCTTCCATATCTATCAACTGTAAAGAACGCAATAAAGCCACAAAAGAATTTGAATGTTAATGTGCAACTCGAAAGGATCCTTGAAAGTTTCCCACTCATTCCTAAACTCTCTTGATATAAAGTTGTTGAATAAACTGATATTAAATTACCACCCGACATTTGCTGTAAACATTGCAATGACATACACATTAAAAATCTCATTAAAAGTTTCTCCTCTCCCATTTTAAAAAGATCTATAAATTTAGCATCTGTTTTAGCTGATTGACAATTAGAAATTTCTATATTTTCAATTTCTTGAAGAATTATATCATCTTCAATATTTGTTCCATTTATAGAAGCCAATATCTCGCGAGCTTCATTGATTCTTCCTTTCATGATCAACCATCTAGGAGATTCTGGAAGTTTTATTATTGCAAAAATTAAAGGGAAATTAAAAATAGCTCCTATTGCTATTGGAACTCGCCAAGTCGCCTGACTATGATTGCCCATATAAAAGCCGAACGAAATCCAATTGGTGAGTAAATACCCTAATGAAATAAATGCACCATCTAGTGCCACATGCTTACCCCTGTTCTTTGGTTTTGAACATTCACTTTGCCAACTAGGAACTGTGACGTTCAACATTCCAATACCAATACCAAGTATAGTCCTTCCAGTGCATAATTGTCCAACGCTAAAAGCAGAACATTCTAAAATTTCCCCAACTAATACTAAGAGTGCACCCAATAGAATAGTTTTTTTTCTTCCTAGACGATCACCAAAGAAAGAACAAAATACTGCACCAAGAAGAGCACCCAATGAAAATGTAGAAACAAACACACCTTGAAGTGTTGAAGCTTGTGACTTGGCACTTCCTTCTTTGTCTAAGGTAGATAGCATGGGGAAATATTTACCAAACTCAGGTAAAGATAAAGCACCACCCATGCCCGCCTGATTGTAGCCAAATAAAATAAATGAGGGAAGACCAACTAATAAGGTCTGCGACGTTATTAGCGCATTACCAGAAAGACCCAAGTATTTGGGAATATTATCATCATATACATTCACCATTGCTTATATGTTAGTTAAACTGGTCCTTAGTACTGATAATCATTTAAAAATTGGCATTGTACGAAGCATTTATATAGCTTTTTAGATCTATTAAATGTTTTGTGGGGAATTTAAAATCGCACAAGTTTTTATTCCGATGGGTTAGATGAGAAGCATGAATAATGCCGACGGTATTACATATAATAATTTAATACCGACGGGATAGTGGTAGACCTAAAAGAATATATAAACTTGAATATCCTTTAATTACTAAAGGAATGGTATAATGTTATTAAGTATAAACCACATACATCATGTCTACAGCGTATGATTCATGTCTATTTAAAAATATTTTTGGTACCGAAGAAATTAGGGATGTTTTCAGTGAAGACGCCTATATCAAGAATATGATACTAACTGAAGCTTCATTAGCAAAAGCTGAAGGACAGTGTGATGTTATTCCTAACGATATTGGTGATGCAATTTACGAATTAGGAAAAGATTTGACTCTTAGTTCTATTGATAAATCGTTACTTGGAGAACAAACCGATGTAGTTGGGTATTGCGTGTTACCTTTATTAAACCAACTAACCGCTCAATTCCCTGAAAACTTATCCGGATACCTTCATTGGGGAGCAACAACTCAGGATATTATGGACACCGCTTCCATGCTACAAATTAAAAAGGCATTAGAGATAGTAGAAAATTATTTGTCAGATTTAATAACAATATTGAAAGATTTGGCTCAAAAACATAAAGATACTCCAATGGCGGGTAGGACTCACTGGCAACATGCTTTGCCAATAACTTTTGGATATAAGTGTGCAGTTTGGCTCTCTAGTTTACAGAGATCTTATAATAGGTTACAAGAATTAAAACCAAGATGTTTGTTGGTTCAATTTGGCGGTGCCGCTGGAACTTTAGCATCATTAGGAAATGATCCGAATAAAGGTTTAGATGTGAGAGCGAAGTTAGCAAGTTTGCTAGGTTTAAATAATCCATCCATTACCTGGCATGTAGCAAGAGATGGTATTGCCGAAATAATTAACCTTCTTGCCATTATTTGTGGTTCTCTAGGAAAAATAGCACTTGATATTATTGCCATGTCATCAAATGAGCTTGATGAAGTATCCGAACCTTACATACCTCATAGAGGAGCATCTTCCACTATGCCTCAAAAAAGGAATCCTATTTCTTCTGAGTATATTTTGGCATCATCAAAAATTGTTCGTGCTAATGCCGGATTAGTTCTTGATGGGCTAGTTGCTGATTTTGAAAGAGCATCGGGCCCTTGGCATCTCGAATGGGTCGCTATACCGGAATCTTTTATTTCCACTGTTGGTTCTTTGCATCAAATGAAATTTACTTTGGACGGTTTAGAGATTAAAGCTGATTCTATGTTACGTAACCTTGAATCGACTAAAGGATTAATAGTTGCCGAAGCCGTAATGATGGGTCTTGCGCCTTTTATTGGAAGACACGATGCGCATGAAATTGTATACAAATGCTGTGTCAAAGCACATGATGGCAAGGCTGCTTTATATGATATTTTGAGATATGAACAAAAAATAATTGATAAAGTCGACCTGAAAGTGTTGAAAGAGTTATGTGATCCAATTAATTATTTGGGATGTTCTTCCTCTATGGTTGACGATGTATTGAATTTGAAGTAAGCTCATCAATTATGTTATATATATATTCAATAAATGTTTTCATCAAGATTATAATTCATAGAGTTATTTAAAAAGCTGGGGGATAATTCAAAAAAGTTAATTAATTCAAGGTTTTCATTCCACGAATCATTCAACAAATTATTAATGTTTTTAAATTTGTCTCCTTCATTCTCGTCCAACAAAGATGTTCCCAAGGTATGATAATAGCTCAAGATATATTTATTAAGCATTTGTATTGTATTACCACACTTATTAGCAATGTTTGATCTATATTTAAATAAAGCATCATCTTCGCGTAGCTTCAAACAGTCTGAACAAATTAGTATATATTTCTGAACATCATCTATGCCTACCGTATACTTTACGCAATCATCTATCACGACAAGTATTTGATTCCATAGTATCAACAACCCAGACTGGAATAGTAAATGAAAGCCACATGGATAAATAAAATTAATTTCAGGAAATTTCTTACTATGATTTGCAAATAATGTAATAAAATCTTCACTGATTTTTAAACTTTCTCCCAAGCAATTTTCAAATGAAAGTGAGGCTTTGGGATATGTTAGACCTGGGCGATATAAATGAATCATGCATGTGTAATAAAGCAACTGGAGATAATATTTACCATGAAAGTGGGTTTCATTATTATCCATACACTCAAAGATCTCATAGTATTCAGATTTCCAATTATTTAAACGCTCCCTTAATTGTTTCATCTTAATATCACCATTCCTTCTTTGGGTAGTTGTATAAAGATTCTTCATGATTAAACTTAATATCCGGCATAACTTGATAATTGAAATGAATAGTGAAGAATTTGACTCTTCTCCTGGTAAGGGTAGAATTGCTTCCCTTTCTTTCTTGTCCCCGCTTGGTTTGAAGCCATTTATCTTTAACGGTAAATCAGTATCAACATCTTCATCATTAATCAACCTTGGAAGTCCATTGTTACAGCTAATTAATATATCAAAACAGTAAGTACACCACCAAATATTTTTTCTTTCTTCTGATATCTCTTTATTGAATTTAAACCTCTGAGAATGACGATGCAACCCGTATAGAAACGCTAATCTGACAGATTTACCATTAAATTGAATACATAGTTCATGATCTCCAATAACCTGTAGGTATAACATTGTTATCAAGTAGCATTGTAATGTCTCAAGAGACGAGAAATTCATTAATCTGATTAATAGATTATCCTGTAAATATTGAAATAAAGAAATCGAACACTTGTAATCTAAAGTTGCCATTTGGATAGATATTATCATTAGAAAACAATAAAGTGTAGGCAATTGTTTTAGTGCATCATTACCATTTTTAATAAAGTCAATTTTCTCTGTAAGTTCGATGATATCAAAATCAGAGGAA